CCTACACAGATGATTCACTGCACTTTCCTCTGTGTAAACAGTGGGTGGATCCCAGCTGGATTTCCGTGAGCGACACAGCACTGATTCCTGGCTTGGGGAAGCTGCACCTCCTTCTCCTTGTCCTCCCTACCTGTCCTGCAGCAGAGCACAAGTGCAGGAGCAAACCTGTGGTCCACACACACCTGCACAATGCTTACAGGGGGTGAAAAAGCCCCAGTGTGCCCCAAGCCAGGTTGATGGATGCAGGGGACCTGCCATGCACCCCCCACTGCCATGTACCCCTCGCTGCCATGCACACCCCATTGCCATGTACCCCTCGCTGCCATGTACCCCCCACTGCCATGTAACCCCCCCCTGCCATGTACCCCTCACTGCCATGTACACCCCACTGCCATGCGACCCCCACTGCCACATACCCCCCACTGCCATGTACTGCCCACTGCCATGTACCCCTCACTGCCGTGTACCCCTCACTGCCCACCCAGCCTCTACAGGGTCTTTTCCCCATCCTTTGGCAGGAGACCAACGTGCCCAGGGAGGAGCCTGGCATCATGGGCTGAGCAGGTTTATCACATCTGCCTCACACTGTCTGCAAAAAGCTTGATGCTAACTAAGAACTCACCAGCTCTCACCTCCCGCTGTGCCCTAGTTACAAGATGAGGGCACCGTTTGCAAAGAGAAGTGCTGGCTAAGCCCAGAATCTCGGTTTTTTGACATGGGACTAAGCAAGGCTAGCTGGGAGGAATTACTTAGAGGTGAGTTGACATTTCCCTTGGTGTTCCTCATCGGGCATTTGTGGACATGGAGCAGTGTGGGAACCAGCATGGTGCCTGCTCTGCAGCAGGCAAAAGCTTCCCATCATGGATAATGGTCCCTGATCCAAAATCTCCCTGCAAAGCTCCATCTCCTCTGGGGCAGGCAGGAGTGTCCCCGTCAGGAGAGCTGGCAGGGACTGAGGTCACCAGCCCAGCATCCCAGCGTGGGGGTGATCAGGGGGAAGGGTCCCCCTGCACCCCAGTGCCCCAGCCCCAGGCAATACCAGGGGCAGTGGGAGCCCTGGGTGATGCCAGGACATCAGCTGCTGGAGGGAGGAGCGGGAGGTCAGACACCACCAAGACGGCGTGCAGAGCTCTGGCACTGTATGACAGTCCCCGATCCAGACACAGGCATTGATCCCACCCTGGTGGGATGATTCCTGAGCCTAACTCCAAGCTTGGACCCATCCCAGGACCCATCCTGCTCCAGCCACACACCGCACCTGACCCTAGCCAGGCACTTTTCAAGTAGGAACATGCTTTTGCCCATCAGAGGGATTTAAACCTTGGGGAAATACCAGCCCTGGGTGCAGCACACAGGGAGAAGCCCCCCAAGACGTTTCTGAGGGGGAATAAACACCAAGCCCTTAAATGCACTTCTGAGGCATTTCATTCCTGGAGAAGCCATTTCCACCCTGTGACCTTCGAAGTGGCTCCCCCACCCCCACTCACCCCCACCACCA